GATCCGTCACTCTGTACAGTAGAGAATTTACCTAAATAAAGTGAACTATATGTCTCTATATCCCATGTGAGAACTAGAGTTCAATCCTTCATAAATGCTGAAGAAATTAGTGGATTATTGTATTTATCATCACTTATTGGGTTATAATTACCTACGGATACTCAGAAGAGATATGAATTCTCTGACAGTATATATGAATAATTACTTAACGTTGCCTAACTTGAAAGAGATAATCTTTCTTCACAGGCTACTTTGTGATAATAATACTAGCAGTTTAGATCATCTGAGGCTGTACACATTCTAACAGCATAGACTGCTTTTAATACATTATACCAGTCATAATGGTTCCATATTCTCATACAGATATATAGTTTCTTTCTGCATGATATCTTTAAAGTAGATAAGCGCTAATAGTCTTGATCTTAAACTTTGATATGCTATTAAGAACATTAGATAGTATCCTTACTAATTTGGTCTTAAATATAGATAATGGCATTTCTTTAGGAACTTTGACATCAAAGAAAGATCAGATACCTGTAATATTTATGACTGTCTTTTGCCTATTAATCAAATAACTACTAATGCGTAAAATATAGGTAGAGACTCCATTTATATATTTGGTATCATCACTAACTTCAATAAGCATGAAATATATGGGTTGCTTGCCAGATAGGCTTTGTTGAAGTATAGCAGTTATCCTGTTATCATATTCTGCTATGATCTTATTACATGATGTAATGCTAAATAAAAATCTAACGCTGTTATAGCAGGCAATTCCAGTGCGATCAGTTTAGTCAAAAATAATTGAAGTATGTATATTGTTAGTTTGAAAAGGTTTATATTACTTTATAAAATTCAGAAATGTTTAATTATTTTTTTGATGAATGCAAAAAGAAGCGATATCGAACTTAGTCAGTAAATTATAAAAGAAATACAACTTGATATACCCTAAAAAGTGTAGCTTTCTACATAATTTATTATATAAAAATTGGCAGAAAGCTACACTTTCTAGACATGTACTCGGGTATAGTATAAATAGGCCAGCCATAATAATACGTAATGCAACTGAAAGTGAAGGTATTTGCGAAATTATTATATAAAAATATGGCAGATGCCTTCACTTTTCTAGATATATACTCAGGTATGATATAGCCTTTGCATAAGACTTATCCTTTCTAGATATGTATCCAAATATGATATGAAGGTTTCTTTGAAAATATTGACACTTAGCTATTCTATCATTAGTATGAATTCAGAAAAGTGGCAACTGGATATACATCTAGAAGATAAGTCTTCTTTAGCCTCACTCTTGGTGTCAAATAGGAAGTCAGAAGTAGAATTAAACCTAGCTGGTAATATTATGTAAGTAAAAGTATTACCACTTCTTGTGATTTTTATTTCGTATATGCATTATCATTATTATGTTTCTTAATGATCACAAAATGGGGATAATGTATATATAAAATAAAAGTTATAAGAAGGTAACGGGAAAGTAACTGAAACTAAAGGTATAGTAAAATTAATGAAAATTTTAACCAATACTATTCCATGATTTCGATCAGAACTTTGAACATAATAATTCTGCATCTAAGCTGATGAACTAATAAGAACCTTTCTGGCATCTTGACAGTTTCTCACTAGTTTTATAATAGCTCTAGAATATTACCAAGTCGCTACCATAGTGCCAGCTTGGATCCTCCAAATCACATGTTCTAAAGATCAGCCAAAATTATGGTATAGTGCTAGCTGAAATTAATCACAAATTTACTGCGCCACCTGATACTATATTTTTTTATCACATTTTGGTATCTAAAAAGGCAACCAAATAGGCATAAAGGGTAAGCACTCCAATATAGAATTTAGCACCCAACCAGGTGTAAAGAGTTAGCATCCTCAACATAAAACCAGATATCTAAACAACTACAGAGGACTAACAATTCTATTAAAGAATTTACATGATGATATCCCATTTATGTAACTTGCAGATAATCTATTTTGCTAATATGATAATCTTTTTATATAAAACACTATTTTAAAAACTAATGTTAGTCTTGTATAGCAATATTGATTTTTAATATAATAAATTAATAAATTTTATTGTTATAAAGTGATTATGTATCTGTATTTTATTGGTTAATTTTATATACTAAACAGTTCATATAAAACATGATTATTATATAACGAATACACTTAATACTAAATTAAATCTTTTAGAATAATAGTTTTATTATATCTAGAGTTAACTATTATGCTAAATTTAATTTATATTGTTGTAATTTTCTATGAGGTATTATTTTATTAAATATTAAACAAAGGTTTTGTTTTTTTTTCTTTCTAAAAAAATTATTTAATTAAATTAATAATAATTACAAATAAATTTATATTTACCATATTTATTTCATCATTTCAGATATATTATGAATTGTATTTAAATGATATTTTAAATTTGAAGTAGAATCTGTAAACTTATAGAAAATATCATATAATTCATCTTTTCCATGTTTTATTACAGATACTATACAATATACCTTTTTATCATCCATTTTTTTTGAAATATTTCCATACATAACTTTTTTCACTTTTTAACTTCTTAATATGACAAGTAGGTATTGAAATTGAAGACCTTTTAGAAATTGAAAAAGAGGAGCAGATGATTGTTGGATTGAAGATCCAGATTGAGAGCCTTCAATATCTCTATACTCTAAAAACTCGTCGCTAAAAAAAAATATATATTTCTTAATTAATTTATTTATAAATTATTAAATTTATTTAAAAAGAATATATATAAATATAATTTTTACCTCAAAATAATAATAATAATAATAATAATAATAATAAAATTAAAAGTATTAAAAAAGTGAAAAAAGTAGTATGATAAATATTTTATTTAAAAACGAGTTAAAATTGTAAATATAATGCGTTAAAAAATGTTTAAAATTTAAAATTTAAAAATTAAAAAAGAAAAAAATTCTAATAAATAAACTAGGGATGTTAAGCGGTCCTAAGCGGTCCTAAAAGTCCCAAGAAAATTACAAAGAATTATATTTACAAGTTTATTATGAAACTGTCTATTATAAAGTTTTAATGAGCTACTAAATGAAAATATATAATAAACCCTCGTGGAATCCTAAAATTTAAAATTTAAAGACTTAGGACCGGGTCCTATATTTAGCGATCCCATCAAAATTTGCCAATTTTTGATGGGGTTACTTATTATAGATAAGTGATTAGACTTCTCTAGAGTTAGTAATCTCTTAAATCGTAAGGACCGGTTAAGGACCGGGTTAACATCCCTAAAATAAACGGAGGGTTTACAACTGAATGATGCCTTTTGAATTTTCCGATATGAATTACACCTTTTTTAACTTTTCCGATGCGTCTTTACAAAATTTTAATTTAAATTTGGATGCTCTATGAATATTAATTTGTTGATGATTTTTAATGGCAAATACCAATTAACCGGTCAAATTAACCGATTGATTTAACCGGTTAATTTAACCGGTTAATTTATCCGGTTAATTTAACCTGTTAATTTATCCGGTTAATTTAACCGATTAATTTCATTTTAATCGGTTTTATTGAATATCTTAACTGGTTAATCGTTAAATGAAATTAATTTAAATCCATTTTATTGGTAATAAAACCAAATATATTATGATAGTATCCTTACAAAATAGGATGTTATTAATTTCTTATTATATTTGTTTAATCGCAGCTTATTATCGAAGGTTCTATTTTTGATTATTTATTTATTTTATTTCATTTCATTTGTTTGTATAATGAACTCAAAAATATGCGAATTACAAAAATTTATTCGCAAAATGTGTAGTATGTGTACGGAAATGTTTGTGCGCGCATGAAAATTTTTGTGAATTTTAAAAAATTGTGCACCCGCACATGAAACACAGTTGTAAGTAGTATGCACTCATTTGAAAATTTAAGTAAACGCTGTTTTATTTCAATTCTATTATTTACATTTAATTGAATCTTATTGATTAAATATATCATAAATATAAAATTATTACAAAAAAATAAAAAAATAAATAAAACAATAATATTTGAGGATCGAAATGAAATTTAAAAACTTATATATAATAATAATATTAAAGGAATGTTTCTTTATCCAGACTGTTCAAAATTTCCTTACAATATTTATTAAAAAAATCTGTAGATGGGTCGATTTCTAATGTTCTTCTATTGACCTCTACATTTTGACTCTCCGCATGTTCGTTCCCTGGTTGTGGTAACGAATTATCACGCGACGCGGGCGCATTATCTCCAGAATTTGAAGAGGTCGGCCAGATCTTTTCGTGTAAACTTTTTGCAAGATCAGATAATCTATTAAAACAATTTTTCTGATCATTGGACGCTTCTTTCCAAAGTTTACTTGAAGTAGTAGAGATATCACGAAATGCTGACGACAAAGTAGGATGTTGTGACGTTAACTTCGCCTGGTAATCCTTCCTGAAGATTACAAACGCGTTTTGTGGGCGTGGCGGAGGTTTATCGTTATTGAGTCTTACTTTCGGCTTAATCAATTCATTTAAATTAAGGAAAGTAAGTCTTTGCAATTCTTCTCGTTCTTCCGGTGTGGTTTCTTCGAGGATGGTTTCTTGTATCATTCTTTCGTCATAATCATTGTTTTTAACATCCTTTGGACCGAAATCGATGACGGTACCATTTTTATTATACGGTAAACTCATTTTGAAATCGGAAAATTTGATGATTTTTTTTTAAAAAAAAAAAACGATTCAATGAAAAAAATAAAAAGTTTCGTTAAATAACCAAAATTTTGTGTAAATGTAATAGAAAAATTGGGATTGAGACATTGAACGAAAAGTTTTGATATTTATACTGTCATCATACGACTTATGGTATCATGCAATTAGATAATTTGCTCCCATCTTACAAAATTTTGAGACTACCTTTTTTAGAAATCAGAAAATGTATTTCATTAAATTTATTGAAAATAAATAAATAAATAATAGAAAAAATCAGGATCAAGCTTCGTAATTATGAACCTTTGATTCCAATTGTGATGTTTCCCGCGTTGGACTTGCCCTTTGTGTTTGAGAAATTTTCTTTAATAGGAACCGGATACAAAAATCTATAAGCTCTATATTTATAACACAAGAGACAAATTTCAATGATAAGGGATATAAGATGAAACTTGTACTCGAAGAAATTCCTCGTTAATGACAAAATTGGCAATTTATTCAATCTAAGGTAACGACAAATAGGAATTGAAATTCGGTGAATTGACTTTTTTTGACTTATATCGCGCAAAACTTTAATGCAAATTACACATGCCAAGGAACTTTATTTTTACAGGTGCTCATAAACGCGTTCTCCTGTCACAATTTTGTAATTCGAAGTTTTTCCGACATCTGATGATAATCTCTGATAATAAATTGGTTAATAGTTTTTTTTTTCTTCTTCTTCCTAAGCTCCTCCTAAATTCTATGACTGTGAAATCTTTATTTTACAATAAGGTCAAGGAAGGTCTTTCCATTCAAGAACTTTTTTCCCCTCTCAAAAATCGAATTATATTTTGAAAATACATCTACGAATCCACATAAAGTTTCGTTATACAAGTAGTGGAACCATAAGCAAAAAGGTTTCTCCATAATTTGATGCTTTTACTATTAATAGAAACGTAAATCTTGTATAAAAAAGCTTTTATTTACGTTTTAATTAATTCCTTAAATGGTTATAATGGATATTTTGAAAAATGACAGGAAATTACGTAATCAAGAATTACCATATATGTAAAATAATTTACACTGCATTCAAATGACTTCTAGTTTAATGGGAAGCGAGGCCAAAGATCTGGGGGACCTCGGGTAAAAATATAATAATGTAATAAAATCAAAAGACTGGTATCATAAGATTTTACCAAAATATGAATCCTATCAACTTTCAGCACTTGTATCAACGTTAAATACTCCTAACAAAACTTTGGGTGGCACAAAACAATCAATGTTACACGCGAACTAAAATGTATTGATCACGTAAGATAAAATTTATAAAATTCACGAGTGAAAAGTTTTATTTTTTTTTAAAAAAAAAATATACCCCTAAACAATCGAAACATTTTCTCGTTATTTCAAATCACTGGAAAAAAGTATAAATCAATCGTTTGAAGATTTGCCATTTTCAACTCCCATTTAGCAGCATTCCAATCTTCTTCATCCAATATATTAATCATGTCTTTTGTTTGATTTTTATACGTTATTACGTTAGGATCGATAACGACATTAAAATATTCTCGAATCATTTTAAGAACTTCTTGGAATGGTGTTTCTTTTAAAACACGAAGAATTCTTGATCCGCTCAAGAAGTTACATCTCATTTGCAACTAGATTGAGAATAAAAAAATTTTAATTTTGATTATACTCATTAAATCCATAAATTACGAATATAATAAAATAATACTTTGTACCTCATTTTCGTTACAAAGGTTTTGAAACGATTTGATTTGATCCTTTTCATCTCCAATGTAGACAAGAGAGTTTATATCTGAGAAACGATGATTATTTGAATTGGAATGTACCTAATTCAATCAAACGATCGTTTTAATTACTAATATTTCCCTCTTGTTAATGATTTCTAATCGCACGAACGTACCTTATGTGTGAGGAGTTCGTTAACACCCTCCACGAAAAACTTTAAGGTGTTGATATCAACCCAATCAGCTGGAATAAAGATAAAAGAATGTGCATCTTGAAATTTACCGTTTGTAGGGTCCGCTTGCATTGAAACATGAGTTCCTCTATCGGTGCGATAATACTAATAAAAGCATATCGATTTTGTTTTTGATTGGCTTAAGACGCTAATAAAGACAATGGGAAATTATAAATAAATAAAATACGTATGATAGATATACTTACATATCTTGTAAAATTCTTTTTTAATTCTAAATGAACGTTTTGGTTTTGAGTTAAATAAAACTTAAGAACCTGATTTAAAGGAATGAGAACTTCGAACCGAGAATAATTTAAAGAGATGGATAATTCTAAAGAAATAAATTTTAAAAATAGACTTTGTTTTTGGTTTTTATTTTGACTATCAGAATATATTTTCTCATTATTTGGTTTCATTTCAACTTTCTTAAAATCAATTTTTAGAAATTGATGGTGCCAATTTCTTCCAGTCGAACATACTACGTCTTTTTAGAAAATAAATAATAAATAAAAGTAAATGTCTTGAACAAAAAAGTTGTTAAAAATAATTCAAAAAAGGTACAAAGATAGCTCTCAACGTTTTACCGTTACCGTTAGTTGTACCACCGCTCAACTTCCACTCACTAGGATCGTCTAGAAGGCTGCACATGTTTATTCAAAATTGTGCGAGAATCTAATGAAAATATATACACACACTACAAAAAGGGTGGAACAAAAAAAAAAAAAAAAGGTTTTAACGTTTTACACTGAACCAAGTTTGGTATAATTTTCATTTTCGGTTATTCCTATTACCGAGAAAATCATTTATATTTTCGATTTCACATTGTCTTCCTAATGATTAATTGCGACTTTCTGATTTATTTGGTTGGTGTGAATTCCAAAAAATTATTTGTCAAGATTTTCTGGGCTCGCTCCATCTTGCACAAAGTTTACAATTGAAGGTTTGTCCATTTGCGTGAGTGTAGGTAAATCATTCTTGTTATCCTGTTTAATTTTCAGCCTGATCATAATTAATCCTGTCGGAATTAGAAAAAATATGACGATACCGATGTCAGATGAATCTTAGATGCCATTGCGACTTTAAAGTTGTGAGATATTTTATCTAATATAAGGGCGCCTTTTAAGGTTAAATCTCGTAGAAGAAATTTTTGGCATGTAATATTTCGGCTCGTTAACATGGACATTTATTTTTTTATTAGACCAAATCAAATAAAAAAATTAAAATAAAAAAAAGATCAAGACCAAATTTGATGTGAAACCAGGCTGATGGCATCATCCGTCAAGTGATAATGCTCATGTGGCATAAGATTTTTTTAGTTGGTCTTTTTTACAAGCATAAGGTTTAATCATGTTTTGGCTAATTCACAACGCGACTGATAACTTTGACATCATTATAAAATAATCGATAAAAGTATATAAAAAAAGAATGTCGATTTTCCCTTCTTTTTTTTTCATTTTATCCAAAGAATTAAAAGAAAAAAAATGACTTCCTCAAACGAACAGAATTTATCTCAAGATATTACCATAAATGGATCATTAAATAATTCATCGTCATCAGATGAATTAATAGCAGACTCACAAAAACGATCTGATCAATGTCAAGATCATGATTCGAAATTTGATGAAAGATCAAACGTTGATGAATCTTCAACTAGGACTGTTCAAGACGATGGTGACACCTCACGAATTCATTTTCATCTGAATGATTTTGGTGATAAGGTCGTTGGAACTGTCAAGGTAATTTTTTGCGTCAAAAATTTTCCGGCGATGTAATTACATTATATGATTTAGAATTAATTCGTGGATTGAATTTTTTAAAAAAGCATGGATTAGTCACTGTCTTTGGTACGGGTATTGAACATAAAAATGATCACGAGCAAACTTTAAGACGTCCTTTAACTCTTCGATCAAGTGAATCGTCATCTCCTGAGATTGTTCGAGAACAAATTTCCGAAACAGAAGAGGTATTTATTGTATTGCATTACTGAAAAAAAAATTTTTTTTCTTTTTCTTTTTTTTTTTGTTATTCATCAATAATCTTAAAATTTGAACCTTCATTACAAAATGCATTTTAGGAACTCCTATTTGTTTTCTCTTCAACATGATCCCAAAAATTTATCATGAATAGTAACAAAGTCTATGATATCTACGTTTTTATTTTTTTTTTAAAAAAAAAAACATCAAAGCTATACATAATTAGTTTTATATATTATTTTGTATTTGATAAAAAAAAAAAAGATTCATAGGAAATAATGAACACTTTTATAATAATTAAGGATGACAACTTATGAATACACGCATGTCGATGCATAGCGAAATAAATGCATCGATTTTAACAAATCATATATTTTTTGGTTAACCACACGTATAAATCATTTTTTTTTTTTATAATGGTAGAGTTATTGATGCATGAATGCTTAATAATTAATTTATTTGAATGTAAAATTTTTTTTTTAAAAAAAATGTGAAAAAAAAAAAAATTAAATAAAATAAAAAAAAAACAAATATATAATACAGAATTTTGAGAATTTTTGCTAAAAAAATTCCTAATTTACAGCAAAGAAAAAAAAAAAAACTTTTTGTTGGTTTAAATCAACTAGTGAAGGAATCTCTTGTTGATCAAGGTAACTTTTGGTTAATTTTTAATTTTTTTTTTTTAAATTAAAAGGTTAAATTAAAGGTTTGGGGTTATTGTACTTTTGGTAACATGATGATGAAAATCGAGACAAATAGAGATTGGTTCAACTCCTAGACCAAGGTATTCAACATTTTTCCAGATTCTTTCATAATTATCCACCGTCAAAGTATCATAAAATTTACCATCATCCCCATCATATAAATATTCTAGGATAGGTTCAAAATCTTGAGGGTAAGGTAAGGAAATGGTTATGACGTCACCATCGGTCAATTGTCGAAACGCTTCATTAAAGAAATATGATTGTAATATGAGATATTCCTTATGAACGAAAAAAGATTTCTTGTCATATCCATAAACTTGAAGTTCCGCATAAGCGGTTGACTTGTCATTATAATAATTTGGTCCCAACTGATGCAATTTATCTAGGATATAAGTTATTGGGATGCCATCAATGAACTGAAGTTGTTGATGATCTTGAAAATCTATATTCTTTAATTCCGGTACAAATTGATCAAGTGTTGCTAACTGAGTGGTGGCGGTCATGATTATTTTAGTTTTTATTTTAAATGAATAATAGAGAATAAAATTTTCTTTTTTTTATATATATTTATGTTGTTGTTGTTGTCGTTGAATTTATTGTTTTTTTACGAGATGAAGATTTTTTCTTTTCCTTGTTTTTGAAAATGTTCTTTATAGAAGACAAGTTGTTTTTCTTTGAATTGTGTTGAGAAAACTTTACCAAAATCCCATCGCTTTATATTAAAAAAATTTTAAAGTTTTTAAGATTAAAAAAAAAAATAAATATAATTAATAAGAACAATATTAGAAAGGGGACGAAAATCGGAGTTTGATGTGGAACAATCAGAATTTTCGTACGACAAGTAAATATTGTCTTTAAAAAGAACAATATTATTCATACATTATTAAGGACATCATATTACCATTGTTTTTTTTTTTTTTTTTTTTAATTTCAACACGGACGTCGCCAAGGAAATTAAAGTTTCCCATGAAACACATTCGGGTAAGTAAACAAATAATAGGTTTTATTAGAAAGGAGATTGCGATGATAAAAATATAATATTCGAAATTTCCTATTCCGTGCAATATGGTCAAAAAGCATAACTTACGTCATCGTTTTTACAATTAAAAAGGGGTAAAATGTACGGTACATACTATAAAAGCGTAAAATGGTTAGACCGGAAATTTTTGAAGCTAGCATGGGTTTTTTAAACTGATCATTTGTATGTCCCAACCCTTTATGAAATCATTTTAAAATCGGGTTATGATCATTACGTGCGAAGAATACACCCCCTCCCTTAGAATTTTACTAAGTTTTGAATTATGCAGAATTGACGATTGCACTTAAATATATTGTATTCTGAATGGTTCATTGATAAAGATCATGAAACGTAAATGTGTTTCAATTTTGGTGATCACAAATCACATGCTTGCAAACAAATAACAAGTCGAGTTATTAGTAAAATTGTTTAAAGCCCTGCGTTTAACCTAACGCTTCAACAGCTTGTATCTTTTTAATATGTTTCTGCTTTCATCATTTGCAGCTTTTCAATGGTGAAGAAACTAATTGTATCATCTTGTTAATAGTTCAAGGATTATGATTTGACATATTGGGTACCGGAATGGTATACGTAAACCTTAGAGAGAGAGAGAGAGAGAGAGCAGGTGCTTCTTCTCGGGATGATTCTTCAAAGTTGAAAAAAATGTAACCGCTCATAAAGGATCAGATTGTCATTTTCAATGATTCATTCATTACCCTTTAATTTAATAAAATTAATTATAACGCGCTATCTAAAATTGATATCCGATAATAATTACAGGAAAGCAACCTTATTGGAAGAGGCGTAACGAACTTTTCACGCATCCTTCATTCTTTCACGCGTCGCAAATAAACAAAAAAAAAACCTTCTCATTCACTAATTTATTTGTACGACAAAAAATTTTACAATAAAAAGTAACTGAGGATACAAAATGTTGATCTTTTTTGTTTTCGGAATAAACGCACCATATGTAATTAAATAAATGCTCGACGTTTTTTTTTTGCTGATGAGATCACTGTCGATGCTTTTTAATCTAATAAAAAATATATGAAACGCGTTATACCAAGTCATTCTAATTTTGCGCAAATCCTGCTATAATACAATAAATTAAGGTTTGTGTGGTCAAACAGCAGCATATTCAGATCAGAACTAATACTTACTAATTTGACTGCTCCGTATTCCGATAGGAAATTGAAGATTACCGTTTTTATCCAAGCCGAGCCGAGGTATTATTGCCTTAACGCGATAAAAAAAAAGAAGTTTTAGAGATAGAAACAAATCAGGTTAAATTGTCATGCCGGTTGTATTTATGTAAACTTAACTTATGATGAAAAGGGGCGTAAAACAAGAAAATCATATGATCACAAGGGTTATTTATTCATAAATTTCGAGAAAGTTATTTATTTTCTATCGTTCCCTCTCAAATATCCGTTCAAGTTACTCAAGTTACCTGCGTATCTAAAGCACCTTGAATTTAATAACCCATCGATCTGGATGAATGCTAACGCTTGGAGACATGAGAATTGTTGATATTTATATCAATACCACTTTGCGATTCGACGAAGAAAATCTTGAAACGGATTTAACAGGCGCATTTAAAATCAGGCAGATCAAAAAAGTAAAGGGTTCTAATTTGAAATTGCTTGTGTTAAAATCACGGAATTTAGGAAATTATAATTAAATATGGAAGTTCATCTCTCTCTCTTTTTTTTTTTTTAATGTAGTCAGTATAAATACTTTCACATGATCAAAGATGGATGGATATTTTACTATATATAATCGCCGGTTTCAATATATTTTTTTTCTTTTTATTTTGGTTTAATTTTTTTTTTTTTCTTTTCTTTACGAATTTTTACGAACAATCATCCTTTAAAAAGGGAAACAGAACAAAATTTACCTCATAAGAAAATTTAATCGGTCCTTTCACGTAACAATCATAATAAATCATATCATTATTTAACGTTTCTTCATAAAAATCGTCAAAACAACTACAACAAAAAAAAAAAAAAAAATGCCAAAGTCACAATTTATTCATGAAAACGGTCGCTTGTCATCATCTCCTGTTTCCCAAAATTTAAAGGATAGGAAACCCATTTCCGTTCCCTTTCCTCCTAATGTTAATCCAATGGATTTGATAAAACCACGAAAAGACGGCAGACCTCGTAAAAGGTGTGCCAATTACTTTTTAATCTACCGTATTCAATTTGCAGAAGCTTTACGGGCGAACGGGTGTACCACTCCATTAATGACGGATATTTCTACGATGGCGGGTGACGCGTGGAAAGAGGAACCAGAATTTGTTCGTCAGTATTATAAGGATGTGGCTAATGAGGTTAAGAAATTACACGACGATTTGGTCAGGAAAGCTGCCGAGTCCAAATCATTAGAAGTTCCCAAGAACGTTATAGAAAATTCCGACGAGGTGTCTCCTTCACAAGTAAATTCGATGTCAAATTTCATGCAAATGCAACAATCTTATGTAATTCCTCACGATATAATTAATGTTCCTGGTTATGGGTATCAACAGTTAAACTTTATAAACGGGAACGCTTATTCAAATTATAATGACATGTTCTTTCAAACTTTTGATGGATCAAACTTTGGATTAGTTGAACCAGAATCAAATAATTGTTACGAATATTTTTACAAAAATTAAATTACCGTGATTTTATTTTGTTTTTTATAATCATATTAATTTAATACATTCTTTTTAATCCATTCCTTTTTTTACTTTTGATGGATCAAATTTTGGATTAGTTGAACCAGAATCAAATAATTGTTACGAAATACCTTTACAAAAATTAAATTACCGTGACATTTATTTTATTTTGTTTTATAATCATATTAATTTTATACATTCTTTTTAATCCATTCTTTTTTGTTGGTTTTATTTTATTTTATTTTATTTTTTTTTAAATATCTATTACGAGTTTGCTTTCTAAAAAATAATTCTTAATTCTTAAAATTAGCAAGTAAATTCGCTACACTCGTTTATTGACATCCCCCCCCAACTGTATTAAATAAAAATAAATAAATAAATAAAATTACACGCAAAAACGTCGCAGAAAAATAAATTTCCTTCCTATTTTTTATTTTCTTTTTTTCTTTTTTGTGAAATATTTTATCTTTGATAGTCAAACGAAACGCATGGTGTTACAATCATGTATAATCCCGAACCGAAAACTTCGGAGGTTTCTCATTTTGGATCTCCGTCAACCGATCATACGCCAAAAGAAAATTTAATTTAGAAACAATTCGTATAGCCAATATTAAGAAACTATTCCAAAAGATCTTGACTAAGACAAATTTGGTATTAATTAAAATAATATTTGGGGGAATAAATCTACTGGTTTTGTGAATAAACAACCTAAATCGTGAACCTTAGAATCAAATATTTAATTATTTTTTTTTTTATTCGATCGAAGCCAATCTAAAAAATCCTAGCTTTGAATGATATAAATTTTCAAGCATGTAGTAAAGAGGGAAAGTCGCGACAAATTGATAAACAGATTCTTGACCCCGTGGACATCACGTAATAAATTGGATTACATACCGGGGGAGGACAAAAAGTATTGCATGGTCATGAATCAGATAACTTTTTAAAGAGTAAATGAGCTATATTTTTTAATAACATAATTGTTTGATTTAGAGTAATGCAAAGTGTAAAATCTAATTTTGAAAAAAATCACTACTTTTCAATTCTTCGCACTTTTGTACAGTATGTTCTCGCTAAAGGATCAGCTTTTGTAAGCTATTTGTATGTTTTTACTAATTAATAAGCTGCAAGTAACCACATAAGGTCAGTCAATGACATCTTATATAATTTATGATTTCAGAGTTGCTGGACCCAATTTTTTTTTTACTGTAATAATGGCCATTTTAGCCTTTTAACGAAAATAAAAATGCGCAATGTTAAAAAAATAGTGACTTTTTTAAAATTCGATTTTACGAATTGCAACATATTAAATTAAACAATTAATAAAAATATTTCATTAATGCAATGTTCCTAATAAAATATCAGTTACAAATGAAAAATTTACTCAATATCTCATTCACGACCTTGCAATACTTTTGTCCTCCCTTTACGTGTTGGGAGATAAAATTCAAAATAAAAAAAATTTGATTATGTGCGACATTATTATATAAAATTGTAATTTTTAAAGTCAAATTCTCCACACTTTTGAAATTTCAAACAATGGTTACCTTTTCAGGGTTTAAATACCTGTTCGTAATTATAATTGCAACTTTAGAAAAAAAAAAGGAGCCGCAGGAATGACATTTAACTTTCAAATCGAAAAACTCGAGAGATTTATCACCAACACAACATACAAGATTTGGAATATGCATATGTGCTACTCACCTGATAGAATTTAACAAACAAAAAAGCGGAAGGTTTCGAGATTTCTTTATGATTTGTTCGCCGCTTTTAAGCTGCTTTTTTTTTTTTTTTTTACATTTTATAATAATTTCCTTTCTAAGAATATC